CACCACACACAGCTCAAATGCATTCAAAACGAGGCGTTTGGCTTGTACTCTTTTTCAGAGGAGGATGACGGCCTGATTTCGCAAAATTTAAAAAGAAGAGAGAAAAACTGTCAGGAGATGATTTTCTCTTCTTCGTTTTCGTCCCGACGCAGAGCCAGGGCTTAAGTGCTCGGCCTTCTGTACACACTGGCTCCACACCCACCCCTCCGCGCCTCACCAAAAGGCGCACGGCATTCTGGAACACGCACCTGCCAGACCTGTCTCGCGTGGCAATTCTGAACAGGAAGAATGGTGCCTCAGTGCCAGACAAAGCGCCCTTCAAAAGGCACACACTCAGAACGAAGGTCGTGTGTAGAAAACCCAGGGCGGGCACTGCTGTTGTACCCTTGAGCGAGGAACGGCACTCGGATCACTTCCCTTAAATGCCCAGCTGCATAAATGGGTACAAATGCGAGTTACTTTGGATAATATTGTATGATGGATGAAAAAGCATAAAAACTTCCTGGGAACCCTCAAACCTTTCATGTAAGACAAGGTGCTTGTTTTCAGACATCAAACCAGTCTCCAGGATCTACACTCAAATATAAAACTCGCTCAAAGCGCTAGATTATTAAAAACAGTATTATAGAACTAAATTTTCACCAATGCAGGAAAAAAGTTCTAAAGCGTCTACAAGAAAATGGACTGGGGAAAAAAAAATAATCACTGAGCACTCCTGTCCTTCCACGTTGATGCCCCCAAAAAGACTCAACTGACACGCATTGCTAAAAGGCTGTTTTACTTGCCTAAATGAACTCGTCTGTGTCATCATCAAAAGCTTCCAAGAACTTTGATAACGGGAATTGTAACCCAGATTATGGGCATCATCTTCGTTAAAGGCAGAATTTGCTTTCATGACCTTTAATGTATATTTTACCAGTAGGCTAAGTTAATCAACAACTGATCCTGTGTTCTCAGAAATTCCCCAGACATTCAGATGAAGGCTGGGAGTGATCAGGTCTCCGCAGGAATCACATGGCAACATATGATGAGTGTGACGTTTATAAAAATATCTCAGAGGAGCTCTGATAAATTGAGAACAGTTGGGGGAGGGAGGAGGGGGGGGGGGTGATCTTCTACATGTGACTACCAAACCAGCCACTAAATATCAAGGGACAGGAGAGGGTGGCAAATAAACCAGAATGACAAACTGGTTTTTAAATTGCAAAACAGCCAGAACTCATATACCCATCACTGCAAACATTCTGAGATTTTGTTTGCAGGGAAAAAAAAAACGTTTTGCGGTACTCCTGGCTGGAGCTCTACAGTCTTGTTTGGGCACAGAAATACTTTTTTTGATACTGATTGGCTTGAATAGTTAAAAGTATTTCTGCTTTGGAGTAAAAAGGAGAAGCATAAGAAAATAATTTTCCACACCTCAAAAACAATCAATCAACTGACCTATCAATCCTTTGACAGCCACCATAAGCAGGCATTGGGAGAAATTTGCTAGAGGCAAATAAGAGCTGTTTGCTTTCTCACGTCTCAGCCACGAATTCAGCACATTTAAAGAAGGGAAATACAAAATCTGGCGGCAGAGCTAGAAATTTTTAAACTGTCAGAGCAGATAATGTCTGGACTGAGTTGTGAAATGAGGTCAGTAAGTGTCCGATAACTATCCACGTGGTTTGTAACATTAGATATTAATCGGCACGCTTATTTATGCAAAGCGGAACATGAATAGTACCTTCTTGATTCCTTTATTTCACACAGACACCCCCCTATTTACACTGCCTTTTCAGGCCGTTGAAGAATCTGGAGTCTACAGAGCACTTTCATTTCGAAATGGTCTATCAGCCCTTGACACGGGCTCTTGACTGCAGGGTCTGCTGCCGGAATGGGCAGATTATCACTTTGCCTCAGGCACATTCCTATTGTCCAGAAACCTCTCCCCCCACCTCCCCAAAATAAACCCGTCAACTTTAACCCCTTCCTCGCCAGCACTCAACTCGTACGAGAGAGAGCCCTTTCTCGCTCGAGTCTCCCCTCAGCCACTATGTGCCTTCCCTAAACTAAAGCTTCTAAACCTCCTTCAGTGTCACATTCAGCCTGGATTCCTGAAACACACCTTTTATTAGCTTTCCAGACACAATACTCCTCCCTCTGGTTGCATTTTAGCGACCCAAAATGCCCTTGTAACAGAGAGGTACTTGTCAGGAACGTGCAAAGCGTGTGTTTTTCCTGTCTCGGCTCAAGGCTATGAACCCCATGACCTCACACACAGGAGAAAACGAGGAAGTACAGGCTGACTCTGGCCCTGCCCACTGCTGAGCCACTCTTTTTTTTTTTTTTAAAGATGTCACAGGCACCACAGCCCTGTACCAGAGTTCAGTGCTGACTGGAGGCAGGCACGTCCTGCAAAAGCACCCTGAGCCTGCAGACATCACTGTATTGGCAAACTGCTGGAAGAGCCCCAGATGACTCTTCTACCCCTACTCTCAGAGGTAGCCAATGGTGCACCGTCGCCTGGGGGTCAGCACATAGCCCAGACTCAAACCTGCAACTCCGGGATCGTAGAGCTCAACCTACTCTTGGGTACTTTCTCTATCGTCTATCAGGATTGCTCAGATCCTGATAACTTTTCAGCTCCTAAAGATACATCATCCATAACCTCACGTCTCTCAGCCACATGCTTCAGGAACTTTTTTGTATTGCTCTTTCTGTCTTAAACTGTCAATGTAGCAACTTCCTTTACCTGTTGTTGCATCACCCTCTGTACATCCATTATTAAAAACCCTCAACCAGCAACCCAGAGCTATCTCAGAAACATAGGGCATGAAGCATGCATTTATAGACGCCAATTAACTTGACCAATATGCCTTGGAAGGTGGGAGGAAACCAGAGCACCTTGCACAAACCCACGTGAATATATGGAGAACATGCAAACTCCACACAGAGGGCACCCCAATAGGGAATCAAAAGGCAACGGTGCTAATGTATTTTACATGCATGCAGCACCCGCATTGCTCCATGTTTGCTAGCATTACTGTTCTTATCTTTTTGGCAATTACACCTTCCTTGCTCTTACTTGTCATCCTCTCTCTGGTTGCGTTTTGTACATGCACTCAATGTAAAACTGAGCAAATGCCTAAAGTCTCCCTAGATAAGAGCATGTGCTCAGCAATTAAGTAGCTGTAACAGAAAATTAAACGTTAAAGGGTACGTTCTGCAATTAACCAAGTGTTTTAAAGCTAACACGATGAAAAGTATTAAGGTGTGTGTGGAAAATTACTTTTAACTCTCATCCACTGCTCACTAACCTCCATTGGCTTCAGTAACACATCTTTGTGAAATTGAGCCCTTGCAAAATAAATAGCTTTTCAAGCCCATCAGACACAAGTTCCCTTTTTAAGGAACAGATGACCTGTCACTGTTTTTTTTAGAAAGTGTATTTTGATGTTCTATGGCTGTACATGACTTGCACATGCATGCACATTGCTGTACATGACTTGCACATGCATATATTCCTGCAAAACACGGGTCAATATTATTCAAAATACTATTCGGGTTAAAGAGCACATCACAAGGACCGTATAACCAGTTCATCGTGCAAGACAGTTTGCAAGAATGACATGAGCCCCGTAAAAGCTTTTGCGCTTAATTTTTAATTGATGTTATTAACCACTGCGACTTCCTAAGAGCTTCTGCTTTCTAAACCTCAGTCTTGATCAAGAAGCTACATAAAATTGCTAACAGCTTTGTTGAGCAACAGGATTGCTCTGTGAAGTTTATTGCCATTTGTACAATGAAAAGTTTTTTTTTTTTTTAGAGTTTAGAGGTCCAGGGTTCATCCCAAGGTTAGACTGCAGATTGTGGTTATCAAAAGTCGATGGTTCATGATTATGAACCATCTGGAAATTAGACTGCAGATTCTCACACCACTTGCCCTAGAACCGTGAGGAAAGACTGAGACTACAAGACCATCCCAGTTGCTGCTGAAAGCGGCCCATCAGGGATTAAAGCAGGAGCCCATTAAAAGCAGCACCTGGGTGTGGCTTGGGGTGGTTGGCGGGAGGAGTCAACCGCACTGTTTATGGAGACACACCACAATAACACGTTACTTGGCAACTGCTGTGGCAAAATCCTTCAAGCTACTTGCAACTACAAACAAGAACTAATTTATAGAAGAAAAAATGCCACCACTTCCCTGCAAAATAAAAATTGTTACTTCATCGTTCATGAAGGATCTCTCCGATTCACACCTGTTGCTTTATTGCACATTAGTTTGCACACATGGATTGGCACTTCAGATATACAGTTTCTTTTTCAGCCGCATGAAGAGTGTGAACACTTGGGAAAACCGAAATGGATTATATTGCTATGTAATGGGAATTTTCTCCCCATCCCTGTAGTACACTGTAATGCAGAGAGAGGGTTGGATCAGAAGAGCACGATGGCTGTTCGGACAGGTGCTCACTTTCCAGTGTCTGATGGTATCTTACCACCCTGATCAGTCCCGACAGGTCTTAGCCCTCAGAAACAAAAGTGCTCCACAGCCAGGACTTGCACCACAGGATCACGAAAAATGCCTCAACCTGCCCGTGCAAATAAGTTGCAACACATACACCTCGGCTATCCATCGGAAAATGAAACTCCGCACCCAAGACGTGGAATAAATGATCTCGTGAAAGGAACCGAAAAAATTCAAACCGACAAAACAAGACATACTGCAGGGCTGTCCGTCTGTCATCGCTACCACAGGCTGCACTACTAAACAGAAAACCGATAAGAAACAGGTCGAGGCTGTTGCAAGGCAGAACAGCCCTCACAGACCCCCTGCTCCTTCAGGAACTGGCTGCCCACTTTGCTTATAATATCTGGCTTACCAGATGCTGCAACAACCATTTAAATTAGAATAAATCAAGGACTCTTATTGGTAGAGTGAGGTTAAAGCCATGGTATATACCTAGGAGCTCTACAAAGCTGTTCCGGACCCCAGACGCCTGGGCGCACAGGGTTACCTGTCTGAATTGCTCTTCGTAGGTCCAGTCCCCATGGTCCTGGCCGCCCAGCTGGCTGTGGGAGCCCTGCGGGGGCAGGGCAGGCACCCGCGCCTCCTGGTCTCCGACGGGCCGGGCTTTCAGCAGCTGGGAGTGGGGGTGCAGCTGCCGGCGGGGCTGCAGGAGCACCCCCTTGCCTGGCACCCCCTCCCTGCCCACCGGCACCCCCTCGTCCGCCAGCTCGTCGTCGTAGTCCTCCTCCATCTCGCCCTCGAAGTCCTCCTCGTCCCACTTCTGCTTTCTGTTCCGCAGAGACACACAGGAGAGCCGGTGATGGCCATTTTAAAAATTCTAGAAACTTAAAAAGGACTTTAAACGGCACCCAGGATCCTACAAATAACTTCTCCGCCCCTTGACTAGACCAAGCTGGGCTCTGTTTTTTTTACTGGCCCCAAAATCCGCCTGACTTCGCAACACCCTGAGATTCTCTAATAGGCTGTAAACCACACTGAAGTTTGAAAACTCTGTCTCATGACTTGATCCAATATCGCCATTTCTATACTGTCTGAATGTAATCAGCAGACTTTACAGTCCCTGGCTCCTCCATTGATCAAAGAGCAGCACCTTTAAATCAATTTTTCCCCCGATTTGATTCACTGCTCTATTCCGACTTCCTGAATGTTGTGAACGAGAGCCTCATTGTGGGAAATAAAAAAAAATGTATGAAAAAACTATTTGGCATCACACCCAGCTTTGGGAAGCGATTTGTCCTATTAAAAACACATACTTCAAATACTTCACTACTTTTTCAAATTTGTACACATGCAATGAAGCGCACTAACTTCACAATGAGGTATAGTTCTGCCATGACGCACACCAAAAAAAAAAATACAGGAGCTTAGCCTTTCCTCTTTCATTTTCTGAAAGCGCTCATTTTATGAAAACCACATTTTGTGATCAGGATCAGAGATCTGTTTGCTGGTTTAACCCAAGGCACAGATGTACTGTAGCATATCATGAGGTTCAGAAGCAGGGAAAGAGCTCTGAAGAGCCCACACACCAACACAGCCTGACTGAAATAGAGCGACTTGCTCCATTTAGAATTTGGCAAGGTTTCTGTCCAGCTCCAGCCTGTAGCCGAAGTGTCTGACCTCACACCTAACCAGGGACTAAAACTGACAATAACTGGAAAGCGGCTAACACTTTCGATCCTTGATCGACACGGTTTACAACCACACAATGACAAACGCCTTAGTTTTCTGTTAGAAATGTGTAGTCATTCATAAAACTCTAAGCTCCTCCATGCTTACAGTCCCTCCCATGGCTCCGCTCAGCTGAAGCTACTCCTGTGCTCGCTGGACCTGGGACTAAATCTCAGACTACCGGTGACCATGCCTTTTCATCACTGCTCCTTGGTCATGGAATATCCTTCCTGCATCTCCTCAAGAGACTAATCCTCTGACTCTCATCAAATCGAAGCTCAAAACTCACCTGTATTCCAGAGCCTGTTTTGGTTGCCCTATCTGTATGAACTAGTGTGCCACTTATGGTTTTTTTTTCTTTTTATCATCTCGATCACTGTGTACAGTGGCCTTGGGTTTGGAAAAGCAGTTTATTAATAATAGCAAAAACATGCTAGCAAAATTAAATGGTCTCAGGTTTTCAATAAGTCAAACTGCAGAACTTTCTAAGCTGCAGCAACTCAATTCTCTTGTCTCGTCTGTTCATCACTTCTTCTCATTTAACAGCAAATTCAATGTGCAGGTCTGTTTCCCCATCAGGAACCAGGATTAAAAAGTTGGTGCATTTCAAGTAAGACTTTACTCTTCCTTCTAATTTCCTCCAAAAAATGTGAGGATTAGGAGAATTTTACAACTATTATTTTCACTATCCCGAAACTGATTTGCAAAGATTTTCTCTCACTTCAGTGTAACAGGTTCTGGGACTTGAGTCTTAACGATACAATCTCAATGACTTGTTTGCTTTCTCAGTTGGGGTTTTGATCTTTATGGGGAGTTCTAGTACACTGCAGGGACTTCTGAGCACTGCTCTTTGCTTTCAGGGAACTGGAGGTGTGGTCCTGAAATAAACGATTAAAATCTTTCACATACCAAAATGACACAGTTCCATTCCTAGAATAAAAGACATACCTAAAGTTTTTTTTTAACAATAAGAACAATCTGCATTACAGGATGTTTCATTGACTCTCTAATTGAAAGGTTTCAGCTTGTCTTGTTCAACCAAAATCCTTCAATAAAAACTGAGGCATTTATATGGGACCGACCATATTAGCATCATTTAGGGGTCCAAAGTCTTGTGCACCCGTAAATGATGAAGACAACCTAGATGAACCATTTTCCCAAATCCAAGAGCTTTTCAAGGACTTATCTCCAGGATGCGATTGTTTGTAGACTTTGCTTTCTAAAGTCTGTGGTGCATATCTGTAAAGCTCGCACGTCAATTAACACGACAAGGGCAGGAGGGAGCTTGCTTTTACCTCCAACGTGCAGCAAAACTGACATCAACACTAAACTTATTTTTTTTAAATAAGCATGCCAAATAAAAGTGTAAGATCACCATTTCCCATTACTGCGTAACCTATGATATGACATAACTCCAATGGGGTTGAGTATGAAAAGTATTTCTTCTGCTCAAAGGGGGCATCAATACGAGCTGGAAGTAGACACGAATGCAGGAACAAGGGATGTGGCTTTAAGCTCCACTCACATGTGCTCCTCCTCCTCCGAGCCCATCATGTCTTTGTACTGATCCTCTCCGTCCTCATCCTCCTCCTCGCCCACACTGCTGTTCTCCGACAGGGGGCTGTCGGGGTGTCTCTGTAGCCCAGCTGCCACGGCCCGCATGGCCTCCAGTGCTGCCATCTGTGCTTGCTCCGCCTCCGGGGCGGGGCTGCTGCCTGACTCCTCCCCCAGGCCTTTGGTATTGGCTGGGGGGGTGTGCCGCACCTGTGATTGGCCAGCCTGTTGCAGCTGCTGCTGTTCCAGTTCCATCTGCAGCTTGGCCCTCTGCTGCCGGTGCAGGTTCTCCATTACAGCCTGCAGCTTCATTGCCGCAGAGACCCCCCCCTTATCCCCACGGCAACGGTCAACAGAAGTGTCCTTTCTGAGCGTGGTGGAGGCTTGGGGGGCCAAACGTCCAGAAGAAATAGGAATGGTGACTTTAAGAAGCGACCCTTCCTAATGAATGTTTCCCCGTCAGGAAGACAAACCTTCAGAGAACAGGCAGGCAAACGTAGTCGATGCACACTTCCACTAAACTGTCTGAATCGTCATTGAACAGAGAGTGCCGTAATAGGGTCTCCAAGTTTTTCTCCGCAGGTAGATCCAGGTGAGAGGGTGAGTGGATGGCAGTAGGGGATTATTCGGGGGATTTGGCCGTTCTTCCCTTGCCTGAGCTGGGCTGCCTAGTGCCGTACAGCATAGCCCAACCACTCAGCCCTGCTCTGGTGAAGTCACCTCTTGAGTGCGAAGAGACTGTCAGGCCCTGCCAAGGAACAGAGAAACAGATTAGGAAGGGTATGATGCATCTCGATAACCACAACTTCCTTTCAGTCCTCAGGCTGTCGTTACAGAACAACAAGACGACTTTGTTTTTTTTTTTTTACACAATACCAAAAGTTCGGAGAGTACACAATACCAGTGTGGCTAAATGCACACGCAGAACAAAACTGATTAGTAGCCCAGCATTTAAAGCATACAGCGTCTTTTACCCAAATCAAAAGACGGGCAATGTTCTGCATCTTTAACTCGGCAGCACTGAGCACATCTAACAAAGTACTAAAACCAACGAAGAAATTAAATAAAATAAAAAAGACCATATGGACTATAAATCAATATTGCTTTTGACAGGCTGGTAGATTATGTATTCAAGCATTTATCATGACAAAATTACAAGGGGAGATACAACCCTTTCGCTGAATATATAGGACAGGATACACCACAGCCCTCGAATTGTGGGGAAGTGAAGAGCAGCTAGACCATAGTAACAGCTTTTCCTGGCCACTGCAGAGACCTCTCCTTGAAGCAACTCACAAGTGAAGAGATAGTCTGTTGATGTTTTGGCAATGTAAACTCCTTTATTTCAATTTACAATTAAGCAGGCTCTGTTAAACCTCTGGACTCTGTCCCATACTTACTTCATCGGTCTAAAAAAACTTTTAAAAAAAAAAGGTTTGAACAGATGAAGCCACTGCCACCCCTTGATCTGCACGAAATGAAGAAGCCTGCTTTTTACCACACGGGATCAGAGGAAACGGGCTTGGTAATATTTCCTTAATTATTAATTCATGAAAAGCATAATTAGCATTAAGGAAGAGACTAGAAAAAGCTCACGTTACTTGAAATGTAGATTATTTTCCTTTAAAGTGGAAAAGGATGGGATCTTCACAGTCAATTATGGGTCAACCATTACTTACTCACAAGCATTACTGTAACATGACAGTGTTGAGCTAGTCCCCACCCCAAAAAACTGCTCTATACAAATCAATTCAATATAAACTTAACAGCTCAACATTCTTATAGAAAATGTCTATTGGAGAAAAATTAATCCTATACTCACTAGAGTCTTCAAGTCTTCACTGTGACCACGACTGGCAGCCATATTGGCCTGAATGTTTGAAAGAATATGAACAAGACGTATAGGATCCAATGTACACATTTCCTGTTGCCCCGTTTGTATGAGGACCAAATTATTTTGTTCTGTGCAAGCACAGTCTTAGTGAGAAATGTTTCAATGGACCGCTTAATTCTAGAAGCACACTCTGCAAATTTCAACGAGAAAGTCAACTAATTTTTCAACACAACCCTGCAGAGTGGTCTACTCCATCATGTCAGGTGACCCCACATGTTCTTCTGTGAGGAGTTTCACAAGGTGAGCGTTATCTGCCAAACCACTACAGATAAGCATGCCAGACACACATCAGAACAGAGGAGCACTACAGAGCCATAATCCCCAGAGAAACTGGCTCTCTTCACAGCGATGACAGCCCTATATATTACAGAACACGCCTGAATATAAAAACCCTTCCCCACTTAGGAAAAAAGCCCACCAACGCAGGCAATATTCTGCCATGCTACGCCTGTGAAAACCAGACTAAAGGTTTCAGCAAGACTGAAAGTGCCCGCTTGCAACTTCTTCCTAGCATGACTTGAGCCGCTTCAAAGTTTTGTTTTATTCTCAATAACCAACGGTGTAAAGTTCAAGCTGTGGTTAATGTTTTGTGAACGTAACACTTTGTCCACTTTTAACAAAGACCATCAGGTTAGGAAAAAACAAGCAATTCCAGGTTTTGCTCAAGAGTAGAGCTTCAGCAAAAATAATGCTGGAGTAAAAATTCTCATATTAAAGCTTTCTAACCTGGATGCACTGCAACCACAGTGCCCAAAACACAAAACACAAAGGGACACTGCCAAAGACACTTTAGTGTCCCTAAAGCAAGTCTTGATGAAACGGAGGTCAGGAAGTCCATAGGATCCTCAGGAACAGTCCACAAAAAGATTTTTTTGTTCTATTCGAAGGATCTGTTGCAAATCAGTATCTCTTAGTCTTCATTTGGGCTTTTTAAAACCGTATACTTTGATTCTATGCCAATATGCATATCGGATCACAGTTAAAAGAAACGGCGCAAATATAACCTACTGTACCCAGATGAAAAATACCTTGTGTAAGGTGGAAATCAGAATCACCTTCAGCCTAAATACAAATGAATGGAACAAGTAATAGGTTTATTCCATGCTGAAAAAAAGAAGAAAGAAAACACAATGTTTCAGTCGTGGAGCCTTCTTCAGGTGTGAGAAAGACTGCCCTGTCTCCTTAAGCACTCCTAAGCCACAAATGGCAAAAAATAAACCCTGGGCATTCTTTGGCATGCAAAATATGGATTAACAATGTTAAGACTAACGCAGATGGTATATTTAGAATGTCAAAATGCAACTCGCTTATGTACCCATGGCATAAATCCAGAAGAAGCAGGTCAGTAGTTCATCTCTAAGGTGGCTGGAGCATCTAAAAATCTGACCCAGTTAATGTCAAGCGTCATTATAGCAGCAGAAACAGAACGTGCAGGAAATGGTCAGGAAAATGGAGAGAATCTTTCTGTAAACTTATGACCATAGTCGTGCAGTGGCATACTCAAATACATTTCTCATCGGAGGCATGTCATCAAAGTAAAAAAAAAATCATATTCCTGAGCTTAGTGATGCACTCTGCAGTGGGGAAGCCAGATTATTTCCTGCTAAATGTGAGCTCTTGTGGCTGCTGGTCTGGACTCATCCACTAATTGACTCTTGCGACTTACAGAGGCAGAAAACAAAGCAGCATTGGTTTACTGCCTAATTAAGTTAAATCACACCAAAAAGCCAATTAATTGAAAAGAAGCTTCAGTCAGAGGGGAAGGTGGCAAAGGGAAATATGTCAAACTAATAAAAGGAACTATTCACAGAAAACAGGGCAAAAAACTTTGACAGAGTTTTAGGAATCACTTAGACTTTCCGACAAACGATACAGTCCGTAACTCCACAGTAAAGACTAACATCTAAAAGTGACCAAACATTTTTTGCACTTTTTTAAGAAATCATTTCAGTTTGTCTTATGCCCCCCTCCTCCCCGAGTGCTGCCTTCCCAGAAGGAACCAAGTGAACACGAGTTGCAGGCAGCCCTCCCCCCTCCTGTCCCACCCAGCACCGAGGTTTCAAAACACAATCACAAACGCAAACAAACAAAAACATACACTTAGATTTTGCAGTGAATAATTCTAAAAAAAAAACAAAGCAAGAGCTTCGAATCAGGAGATGCAGACGTTTGCCAACCAGCAATGCAGCTGCGAACGTCTTGAATGAGAATTCCAGCCAAAGCAATTGTTTGAAACGGGCGTGGCCTGACAAATGAGACACCAGCCCATTATGTGAGATGAACCAATGGAATCGTGGAAATGGCAGTGATCAAGGTCTTGGTGGTGGGATACTGAGCAAAAAAAAAAGTCTATCCATCCATCCACTTCATGTAATAAAGGGGAGACAGAACCCAGCAGGAAAGGGGCTCAGGGAGAGGACACCAGTCCATCGTATGGCACACACACTTGCACCAGGGCTGATTAACCAATCGGCATGTTTTTGGACTGGGGGACGAGACCCATGCAAACACAGTCAGAACCACCAAACTCCATGCACCCCAGGAATGGAACCCAGGGCCCTAGTGCTGCGTGAGGCAGCATTGCTAACCACTGTGCTGTACCGCAAGGCCTGGATTTCTCCAGGAGCACAATCCATGGGTGTTGGAATTCACCGTGCTTTGTAACTTTCATTACCAACTCCCCCCCCCACACACACACACAGTTCGCACAGAATTGCCACCTCCACAGGAGTTGTAGAAGTTAGGTTCCGGCCTCCCGACAACATCTTTTGACCTGTATCAACGAAGGCAGGTGACGTGGACAAGAGTGGGGATGATATGAGCAAGGGCCCAGTGATGGGATGCTTTTTGGCATCTTGACAGAAGTAAAAAAGGGGGCTATTCTAGCTGAGGGATGGTAAAAAGGAAAGAAAAGACCTGAGGGTCTTCTATAATCAGCTATAGGCAATAAGACTGCTAAACAGCCAAGCTGAAGTCACCTTCAGCAACCACCCTAACGGTCTTCATTAAAGTGTCAGATTACATGGACAGTTTTCCCTTGTATTTGGCACACTGCAGATTGCACTGTTTGGACATTATGTAGTGCATACACCCTGGATCTGTAGCAGTGTTCGATTTATATTGAGTTTTTTTTATTCCATTTTTATTGCACTATTATGTAACTTTATTCTGTAACTTTTAAATGTTCTGCTTTCCATTTTTATGTCCCCCTGGTGAGCTCGCAGAAAAGACATTTCATTGTCAGCAACTACTGCTGCACGCTGTGTTGCTGTGCATTTGAGAAATAAACCTCGACTGATTGAGCGATCGTGCTGGGGGGGGAGGCGAGATCTCGAATGGAATCGGGGAAGGAACAAGGTGTGCTGTATTGGACCATGGACTGCACCGGGAGCGAGCGAGAGAGAGAGAGGGGCTGGAAGGGTTAATCCTCTTGGACCGCAGCAGAGAGGGAGGGGGAGTGCTGGAAGATTGCAAGGTCTGAGCAAACAAAAGAAAGAGATAAAAAAAGAGCTGAGGGTCTAATTCCAGAGAGATAAAGACACAAATGCACACCCACAGTTGGTTCTGGGGCCACAGGGAGGGGAAAAAAAAAAAGAGACCATTTCAGTGATGACTAGCTACCACTCCCCTAAACCATCTAAATACAGGACTCCGAACTTCTCCTCTCCAGTCCCTTTCACAGGAACCGCACAGAGAGCTTCCACCTGCTTGCTCCACATATGAACCAAGTTCCTCTTTTTGCAAAAATGCTCAAAGTACCTGGTTGCCCTCAACCCCCTTCCCCGTGTCCAACCCTCATGAAAGAACAATTGGTGAGCCGACAGAGGCGGTGTGGATAATGACAGACTTTACTGTACCCAGCACCTTTAAAAGCACTGAACACAAAGCTTGATAAGCAGTCAAAAGGCAGCGGAAACAAAAACACCAAAGGGGATAATTCATTTAGCTTCCATTTGTATTCATGGGCTCATTTTGTACCCATTTTGTTATGCAAGTAAGCTTACATTGTTCAATTTCCATGAGAAAGAGCTGTACCAGGAAGGGGTGGAGACGTAAATTGTGACTTTCCACATGAAAAACCCTGTTAGAGCTTTAATGATGTCCTAAAGGAGAGCTGTACTTTTGCAACTAGCAGGGAATTGGTTAAACGCCACAATTTTAGAGACTGAAGACAGCAGCTCGCGCACCAGATGTAACTGAACCCAAGGTAAAGATTTCTAAATTATTTGAACGACTTCTACATCCTTTAATCTACTTGCTTGTTATGCAATGATCCTTTTGTAACAACGCATCCCTGATAATTCCCCAACTCATTCCGAACAACAATCAGTCATGCGGTTTTCATTTGGTTGGATTTCTCTTTTTGTTAAACTAGGGGATCTAGTTTCTGCACCACATGCGAGATCCCTCCCCCACATCAGCTGATATTGTAAAAGTCCTCATGGGGTGGGGGGGGGTTGAATTTATGACCTGCAGGCCCCTGATTTGGTATCAGGCTTGGTGGTCCAGAGTTTGCAGGCAGATGCCAACCATGGAGGCAGGATACAGTGGGAAGGACACGGCGGGGGTTCTGGTTACAACTCCCCATCGGTGCTGGCACCAAACCTTGAGAAACAGGCATAGCCAAGTGCCAACCGACAAAGAGGCCTAAGCACAGCCATGCAAGAATGAATCGGGAGTCAGCTATGGATCAGAAAAACTATGGATGCCGTTTCGGGCACCATATTTCTCCGAGGCAGAAGAGCCGGACTCTTTAAGCCACTGAGGCTACAGTTTTCGTCCTCTCTCTTCTTCAGCAAATGACAGAGGTCACTAAGGGTATCGCTTTGGGCACTACACCAGTTTCAGAAAGGAAAAGGCAAACAAAAAACAACAGATGAACAGAAGAAGCGACAAAAATGCCACACAAAGTCGTACACCGCACAACGAAACGGAAATGCTGTAATTAGGACACTGACGAGCCTCCTTTTATCTTACAGTCTTGAACAACAGGCTATACCTTGCCACCCTCTCTGTTTGCTAGTAAAGCGAATTTGCAGACTTCTCCCTTTGCAATGCCCTGCCCTTGGTC